GAATGCGTACCAATTTTCTTTAATTTTTCAGGTTTCTAGAATAAATTAGTGGAAGAGATTGTTAGTAGAAAGAGAGAGATTTCCAATGGCCTCATTGTATGAATCCTATCTTTAAATTAATATTACTAAATTTATGTTAAAGACCATCATGTTATAAAAATAAAAAATATAATTAGCCCATTTATTCCTAGGTTGTATTAAGAAATACCTTTTATTTTTTTGATAAGAAATACTTATTGTGTTATCTTTTATTTTTTTTTACAAGAAAAATATGATACTTGTTGATTATCTTTTTTTTTTTTTGGACAAAAGAAGAAGATGTTGTACTACACTTTTTTTTGCTTGTTGTATTACTTTTTATTTTTTTTTACAAGAAAAATAAGAAAATGATGCTGCCAAAGTACATTTTATTTTTTTATGCCTTTTGTTTTATTTTTTTGCAAGAAATACTTGTTATATTACTTTGTATTTTTTTTACAAGAAAAATAAAAAAATGTTGTATTATCTTTTTTATCTTTATCTTGAAAAGCTTTTTATTTTTTATATTTTTTTACAACAGTATTTTCTGCCTTTGTTTATTTTTTTTACAACAAAAATATAAACGAGGACGCTCGCTAAGGGGTTCGAACTCTAAACGTCCACCAAAAAATCGGAGATGTCAACCAATACCGCCACGTCGCCTAATGTGATTTTATTAGCTTCTATAATAATATATATTCAATCGTCTTGCTTTAATGATTTTTTGTGGGAATTATCCCACATTGAAGGATGAGTGTTGCTTTGTTCTCTATAATTCTTGTGTAATAGATGTTGCATTGCGCGTGTAGAAAAGTGATGGGGCCGACACGTGAGGTGAGTTACCACGTGTGGAGGTTTTTTAGGTGCCACATGTTGCTCCGGTGATGCGGCCACGTATAAGACTCGCGATTCACTATTGGGAATCGCCCAGTTCTCTATGGACATGGGCGATTCCCGGTTTTTTCATGGAACCGGCTCGGTTGCAGACTATTCCCGAGTCGAACCGGGCGAGTCCAGCTCGACTCGGCGAGTTTTCAAACCCTGATCTAAACTCGACGAGTTTTCAAACCCTAATCTAAAGACTGCCTTCCTTGTTCATAGCCTATGCATTACGTCGTCCAAAGGACACATTAGAACAAATTTCTTAAAATTTACATTAGTTAGACAATATACCCATGCATAAAATGTGGCAATTTAAGTATCCTTGGTTATATGGTTTATCTAGGAAAGGAAGAAATTAATTCTTAAATGACATCTCCAATGCATGAGAATTAGAAAAGCTTTTTTTTTTGTTATTAGCACAATAATATAAGTGACAATGAAAAACACTTTATGTTTCACGCTCACAAAATTACTAAACAACTAATTAAAGAGATTACGGAATTTTATATTCTTTATAATTAATACAAACATGTCCAATGTAATATTAATTGTTGAGCACCAACTCTAGTTTACACTGAACATATCATATGAACATGGAAAGAAAAGAGTATGTCAAGTGTCAACATGGAAAGACTAAAGTTAAAAAGATCATGTCAAGTATCAACATGAAAAGACTAAAGTCGAAGTATCACAGTTGAGAAAATGCTTGTACAATGTACAGAAAAACATGAATGGCTGAAGTAATTTACAGTTTTACCATGTCAAAAGCCATCTCACAATTATTTAAACAATCAAAAAGAAAACATAGAAGACCCCCACTTACAGTTGTATTTAGAGTCATGACCAATTACATGGTCCTGCTCATCCACTAGAATACACCTGCAAAATAACATATCACAAATCACAAAATGTGTAAAGCAAGCAAAAACCAAACATATACTTGAAAAGGAGGCACTTCGATAAAGCAATCACATGGCAAACATTTTTCATCTCATTTCACTAAGCAAAGTGCCTACCCAGTAAAATCAACCATCATTTCGTGTGGCTCTAAAAATTATGAACATCACCTCTCCACTTACACGTACCCAAATTGAAACAGTGTGATAAAATAACCAAAACTCAATCAACTACCATCCACAAGGTTGCTCTAAATGTTTTACTAAGAGAATAAAAGCATGTTTTCATCCTCTCTAAACCAACAACATTTTAAGAGGTAAAATGATAAATTTCAATGCCTGAAACAGAGTATTCAACAAAACAAGACCTAAAATGTTCAATCATGTATCAATATATACTACAAACAAGTAGACCACCTCATTGTCATTTCATATAACAAAAATGACCACATATCTGGACATCTTTCCTTGCCACATAGTTTCGCGCAGCTCCAGTCGAGCAGTATCCAAGCTTCATGAATGGCCAGCAAGCATGACGTCTAGTACTGCTACTCTAGATTGTGGTGATTGAGGTCTCAGTTGGTTCAATTTTCATTTTAGTTGTTATCTTTTCTAAGCCATTTCTAGACCTTAAATCATGGTGGAGGAATCTGGATTCTGAGCAAAGTACACTTGACACACGAGAATTTCCTGGATTTGGAAGCAAAGATTCCATAAAGCAAGGAAAAATTGTTGTAGGTAATGGGTCGTGAAAGATGAAATCACAGGGGAGAAGAGGCAGATTACATAAGGCGGATCTAGCTTATTAGGGAGACTGGTGAGTTTTCAAACTAGGAAAAAGGTAAAGATTGCAAGGAATTTAAAGCAGGATAGGGGAAAAGGGCATTGGGCAAACTCCTAATATATGCTTCATGTGTTGGGAAGAAGAGGATACAATGAACCTCCAACTCCGACATTGTTCCTTTCTCAAAACATTTGGGACAACTTCATAACCTGTTTGAGATGTCTACTGTCATGCCTAATTGGTGTAAGTTCAATACAGCCTGAGAGAGGACACATTCTTAGGAAGCTATTACCTCTTTTTTTCTTTTTGGAACAATCTGAAAGGGAAGGAACAACAAGGTTTTCAATGGCAAATAGGCCGTTTTCTTGAGACATATGGCAAAGTATTATTTGGTTTCAGAGTTGCAGGCATCATTCATGAGTGGAAGCCAATGTTTATAACACCATTCGTTAAGCCCTAAGTTTGAAGGGCTAAACTACCATAAGAATGCCTTAAAACTAACATCGATGATAGCCCCAAAGGGAATCAAAGTCCATCTGTGGCAATAACTACCCCAGGTACCATGCATTTATAAACACATCCCTTAATTATACTAGTGTCATTAAGAGTCCATCCTAACACATTCTAATAGATCACACAGATTGATGAGCTTCTCTTTTATCGGATAGCCTCAAATGTTCCAATGAGCCGATTTGACAAGTACCAAATTAGTTACACTGCTTACCATGCCCCTGTAATTTGATTCAATGAAGCTAATCATAGAAAACTTAATGATTTTTGCATGTTCAAAGCACCCAAACCTTGTCAGACTTGACGAGCTCATTTGTTAGCCCACATCAACAATCGCCTTGTGCATTAAATTTAGGAATCAGCGACACACACAACCATGCAAAACTACTTGATTAGACTCAGTTAATACCCCTAGCAAACCCTGCTTTCCCTAATGCCACATAACACCCACGAGACTACACTTCCATCTCTACCCACTCCAAGAGGAAGCTTTTAAGACAACCATTAATTAAGCCTCTGAACCCATTTCCTGTATAACCAAACGACTGCCAGTCTTCCTTTAACACGCAATAGGCCATAGAAGTAGCATGCAAAAGGCCATTTTGTGTGAAGTGTTGGACCATCTCTCAATGAACCGTAGCGTGGATCTGAACGAGCCACTATAGCCCAAGCTAACGTCAACTTCAGTACCAGAATTTCAATCCCAACTCGCTACAGTATCAAAAGGGGTATGGATTACCAATCCAACAAGCCAATTCAATGGTACCAACAAAAAGTTTCCAAATTCATAACATCCATCATTACGAGATAATACCAGAATACAGCAACACAACGTAACCGATATATAAGTGACACAGTTGTATGCCATCCCCACAATTCGACATCAACTAGAGGTCATCTCAAAATAAAAATAAAAAGATATAAAAAAAAAGACCCATCATGATAAACACCCATGAGAACTCAGTCAATGAGTTTCCAGGTACAATCGGAAATCAAGCAGGAAACGCTGCACTTCAGCCTGAATCGCAAACAAATGCAACCAACCAGATCCATAACCTCAGGGAAAAATAATTAGAAAAAGATATGACAATTGCTAAAAAGGACATGATAACATCAAACATGTAACTGGAATAATAAGTAAAAAAAAAAAAAGCAAAATCTCCAACAAAGTACAGAAAAAATAGACCCAAACAGTAACACAAAAAAAAGAAAAAAAACTAATCATTCAGATCACAACATACGAAATAGTAACATTTTATCAAATAAACCAGTAGGTCCAAAAGAGATCTAGCGGTAACATATTCTCAAAGAAATCAAGAGAGAGAGAGAGAGAGAGAGAGAAAGGGGATTCCAAAAAAAGGGAGCGGGGGTCAACTGAAAAGCGAAGAGAAAAGCAGCAAAAGCTCACTCGTCTTCAAACATGAGGCGGCGTTGAACAGCGTCCATGCCTGCATCTGCAGCTTGACCCATTGTCGTCGAAATGGAAGAGAATGCAGGAGAAGAGAGAGAAAGCCCACAACGCTTATGCAACGACCCAAATGAGAAAACCAGTGAATGAGATTTGTAGAGGGAGAAAATTGGCATCAGCCTTCTAAATCCGGGAAATGCCGCGTTACTAATCTGAGCGAAAGCGCCGGCGTGCATTATGCCCTCTCTCTCTCTCTCTCTCTCTCTTTAAATTCCAAACTCTCTCTCTCTTTGGATTCCTTCCTTCCCCCCCTCTCTCTCTCTGCAGGCCCGGCAACAAACAATTTGCAGTTATTATGTTACAAATAAAATCCACACCCTCCACAACAAACAATTTTCTACTTATTGTTTTACAAATAAAACCCACACCCCCTTCTCTCTTTCTCTACCACCCACTGTGGGCCTTCTGGCCTCTCTTCCCCCTTTGATTTATATAACACACACACTCTCTCTCTCTACCTGATCTCTCTCTCTACCTTCTCATTTACAGTTTAAATTTCCCATGCGTGTATGACTTCGCATTTTTTTCGAAATTCTACCGCGCCCTCTCTCCGTGATGCTTTTCAAAAGGCAGACGCAGAAGAAGCATCTTTGATGGAACGGGGTTTTTGTTTGTTTCTTTAACCTTAGTTACGGAAAAAAGTTATAAAAGGATCACATTGGACACGAGAAAAAAACATAGATTTCTAAGTTTTGGAAATAGCGAATTTTGTAATCTATTCTTGGATTGGATTGTAACCTATTTTTGGACAGTTGATTTTCATGATTTTTAAGTTTTTATAAATTTATTTGATTTATCCAAACTTTAAATTTTATAATTAAAAATAAAAATATATTTTAAAGCTATCACAAAGCTTTTTAAAATTAAAATCACATTTCTCAACACAATTTGAAAGTGCATTTTACTTTGATTGTTTGGAGCCTCAGCTCTATACGAACCTTAATCATCAACATGAATAAAAAAAAAATGATCTCCTGGAAAACATGTATACACTGTATTATCCGCCGACTCGTGAACAACTTTGCCTTCTTTAATTTAGTTAGTACGTAATTGAATGGTAAGGCTCACAACGGGGTGCCGCGACCCGGTCCTAATGTTCATGGAGCTAGTCTTGGCCCTAACGGGTGGAGCCCAATAAAGTCACGTGAAAACCTAAAGGCAAAAGCTAAAACAGCCAGGCTGGCCCAGGCTAGAACCAGGCTAGCGACCTAGGGCCCACACTCGGACCACTAACGTGTTCCAACCCCAGGCATACTACACCGACCATTGCCACCCCATTGAATGGAGGAAGTGTAGAAACCTTTCTCCAACTAAAATACCTTTCAAACTTCAATGATTCACGCACGTGTTTCACGTCAGCGGGTACTAAGATGTGTATCTATCTCCTGTATCTAACTTACGACCAAGGTCGACGGACCACTTAATATGAAGGTACCAACCTCAAAGGTCTGCAAGGGGTACTATCCGGTTAGAATTACAAATAACTCCCAGCAATGGATTTTCTATACGTAATTTTGGAAAGGTTTCTATACTTTCCTCCCCTTAGTAAGCCGTCCAATTTTGATCAAGAGAGCTGCTCACTGTTTGATCTTAGATCCGACGTCTCAAAGTATTTTATTTTTTATTTTTTTATATAAATTATATGAATACGAAAATTGGTAAGTGTCATCCTCTCATTGGGGCGCATTTATTAAAAATATTAAAAATACTTTTTCTATAAAATATAATGACTAAAATACCTGTCACATCACAAGTTTTAAAATACTAGAATCCTTGAGATTTGACAGTCGATTCTTAACAAAACAAATTCTTGAACTTCACCACTTATTGTGCTAAAACAATTTTCCATTTTTACGAGTCTATAAAGTCCACTCGTAACTAATATTAACATGAAGGTTTAGATATACATCTGTTGATAGAACAAATATTTACAATTGTGAAGTTAAATAAACGTTACAAAGGAGAATTTAGTTATGACATAACTGTATCTTCTTCAC